TTTTTTTTTTTTTTTTTTTTTTTTTTTTGTTTTTCAAAGGGGATGACTGCATTTCTATTGTAAGTGGGTCAAGAAATGTTAGAGCAATGGATATCACTTGTGGGCCAGGACATGGAATTAGGTACTCATTCAGCTGAATTTGAAGCATTTTTGTAGTGTTTAGTGATGTTTTTGTCTCATGTTTTGAATGTTTTTGGTTTGGTTTTTTTGTTTGCATTTCAGCATTGGAAGCTTAGGAGCTGGAAACTCAGAAGCTGAGGTTTCAAATATAAGAGTAGATAGAGCATTGATATCAGGAACCAGTAATGGGGTGAGAATAAAGACTTGGCAGGTACGTGAAGCCTACAATTTGTATCGCCGTCAACTTTTCGGTTTTAAAACATATTTGTTAGGGAGAGGTTTTCACATCCTTATAAGAAATGTGTGGTTCCTCTCTCCAACTGATGTGGGATCTCACAATCTATCTCCCTTGGGAGCCAGCATTCTCGCTAGTACACTATTCGGTGTCTGGCTTTAATACCATTTGTAATAGCCCAAACCCCACTGCTAACAGATACTGTTCGTTTTGTCTCATAATTTTAAAACACGTCTACTAAGAAAAAGTTTACACATCCTTATAAGAAAGGTGGGATTTCGCCGTAACCCAATAGGAATTGGTGGGCGTGTCCTATGGAGATAACCATTTCCTCCACATGTATCATTAAAAGTATAGGAATTCTAGCTTTTCCTACCTCCACTTGAACGCTGAGGGTGATTTGAACACCAATGGCTGTTTGTTTGGTGTCACTGATGGGTCCATTACTTGTTTAGTGGGTGTAGTTCAATGCTATTTGTCAAAGTTAAAGCATGTGTTCAAACCAATTAAATAGAGTAAAGAATAACATAACAAAGTTAATTCAGTTGGTGTACCCAAAAAACGAACTATATATTCTGTCTAAAAGACGTCTTTAACTTTCAAAAGCTTCAATGATATTTTTAAAACTTTTTAGTTTCAAAATTTATAGTACTTTGTTTCAAAAAGACCCTTAAACTTTAGAAAGCCTTAATATAGACTTACCGTTAGTTTATGGAATTTTTTTTATTAATAATTAATTTTTATAATTCCCTCGTATTATATTACACCTAAACTTTCTATTTCGAATATTTTCATTTGATTTTGCTTGCCTTTCAAATTTTGATAATGAATGGGACATGTGAACAGGGAGGCTCTGGATATGCTAAAAACATCATGTTTCAAAACGTTGTCATGAACAACGTGCGCAATCCAATAATTATAGACCAGAATTACTGTGATAAAGAAGAAAAGTCATGCCCACAACAGGTAAAAAATTGAGGCCTAAATCTTTGATCTGCTTTGAACTGAACTATATAGATACCTAGAAAACAAAAGGCACAGGAGTTAATTAGGTTTTTGTTGCTCTCATGGATGCAGAATTCAGCAGTGAAAGTAAGCAATGTGGTGTACAAGAACATTAGAGGAACAAGTGCTTCTGATGATGCCATAAGATTTGACTGCAGCAAAAGCTCCCCTTGTCAAGACATTTCCATGCTTGGAGTTCATCTAGTTAGACAAGGAGATGATGTTGCCACAGCTTCCTGTGAGAATGTTAGGTTGAAAAATAGATGGAAAGTTTATCCACAGTGCTCCTCATAAGTTGGAACACTTTAGTCAGAAAGGACGGTTGTTCGTGAAGATTTCTACAAAAATATCCCTAAAGGCTTGACTCGTCTCGATTACGAGGAAGCCTTTGACCTGCTTCCATAGCTGTCCTTCCTTTGTTGAACTATGTATATGCATTTAACACTGAATCTTTCCTTTTATATTATTATAGTATCATACTATTCGAACTTACGAAAAGGCAATACCAGTATTGCCTTGCCCATTGAACTATGTTCGAGTCGTCCCATTTTACACTTCTATACACATATATAATGCATTTTCTTTTTCCATATGTTGTATTTCTTCCTCCAAGCAATTTCATTCTGTGATCAAGTAATTATTGCTTGTAAGAACAATTGTAATGGTCATGTATTGTCACAGCACAGCAATCATGATGCTCAGGCTACTCTTGAGATTTTAAGTTTGATTTCTCACCACCTACCACAAACCATTATAAGCATTATTAATATTGATATGTAACCTAAGAGAGCAAAAAAATATACTTTCTTCCCCCAAAAGATGGATCAGCAACTAGATAACAGCATCATCCATGGACTAGAATCAGAAGGAAGAACAGGCAGCCAATTAGTTGCAACAGATTTTGAAGATGAATGAGCAGTTTACAAGGGTAATTTCTTTGATTACCCACAATAAATATGCAAAGAATAAGTGAAGAATGTTTTCAAAGATTGTTATGTTATACATGGTTTAAATAATGTTACAAAATTAAACCTCTAATACTACCTTTTGCTCTCTGTCCTCGTATGGAGGAGGCATCAATCTAAGCGTATTGGCAAAAAGATCTTCACGTCCTGATGGAGGTTCTGCTACAGGAGCATCCAATATATAATCTGGAATGGCCACAAGTGTTTCCTCGAAAAATGATTTGATGGTCTACACGGTCGAACAACAGTTCACTTAGAAACTATGCAGCCAAGCATTTACAAGGTAGGGATACTTAATGGACAGACAACCTCGATAACAATGCCAGTGAAAAATCTCGGTGATAGAAACATGAAATTTGAATATCCGATTTGAATTTCCAAATTTTTGTAAAACTAAAATCAAAATAAAAAATCCTATGAAACTGTTGAAAGGAAGCAGAGGAAAAATACGCCATGCATTCCATCGAAATCTACTAAACGATATTAAGTTGAACCTATTCTCTTCCAGCATATTTTTATACCTTGCAATGCTGAAAAGCAAAATCAGCTTTACGCTTCCATGGACCATTTCCAGGATCTGTATAAAAAAGGTGAAGCAATGGCTGCAGAAGCAGATAAAGGAGAATTGTAAATGACCACACCAGGTATTGTATGGGGGGTGGGGGTGCGTTTTGCTAGATTCCAATCAGTATTGATTAAGAAAAAAAATAGCAACTTATAAGACATGACGGATAAAAGAGGTCCTAGATTGGTATAAGGCAATAAAAGGACAAAAGTTATCAGTGAAACTAAGATGTAGAAGCAAAAGAAGACGATAATTCAGCATGCTCAGCCATAGTTGATGTATGAAATGGCTAACCCACGGAAATACAGAGTTTCCTCCAATTGGCAGTAATCAGGGAGGGCTCCAAGTTACAAAAATGCAATAATGGAAATAACCTTAAAGGGACCTCAGTTTAATCAATCAAGTGGGACTCATGATGCATTTGCGCCAACCTAGGGATCCAAAATGCAATAATAACATTATACAGTGCAAATCTTTGACCATGGAATCCACACGGTCTAACTAGTGCACAAATGCTATTCCAACACCTTAATAATCATAAGTCCTACTCCCTTAATAGCGCTCGGTCTCCCTAATCCCACATATGGCACAAGATAGTGAGAGAAGAATACAGAGTTCATGTCACACATTGAAAATTACTGAAAATAAGTAAAGTTAAATTAAACCCAACCCCATAAAAATGTTCAGAACCCCAACCCACAATCGAAAAAATATAGTTAAGAAATACATGGCATATAAAAGAAACAAGACCAACTGAAAACATAGGAGACAAAAATTGTGTTTATAAAAAAATTAACAAAAAGGCTGTAAACCACCAATAAGATCTTACCTTCACAACATCACGAATATTTGGTTTATTTCCATATGTACCCAAAACAGAATCCCCATAAACTTGATATTGTTCAAGGACCTAGGAGATGGAAAAGTTTACAGCTAAATGAGATAATAGTGAACTTTCAAGCAGAAGGATACTTTTCACAGCCAACTTTAATAATGTACCTGACGACGGGTTATACCACTGCTAGGCGCACCATAAATTGCAGTGTCTACATGTCCTAAAGTACGCCAAGGGCTATGAAGGATAAATAACAGCCATCGTTAAAATTAAGGAAAGACATAACCAACTCTGATAGAATAATGTTCATACCAAGATATTGTTGGAAAATACAAATAAATACTTAACCAAACTAATACCATCACACTTAACTTCAATTTTAATAAGTTAAATAAATATATTTAAAATGTTTATATTTAAAAAATAAAAAGAACACTCTATGATGCCATAAGTTCTAACACTGTTATTTTTCACTATAATAACATCACCTCAAAACCGGCCTCCACAGACAGATATAATCAGATATCATGGAAGAATTCTAATTTTTAAACATGGAACCCAATGGTCGCTCAAACTTCAGGTTCTCTTATACTGGTAATGGTTGGAGCTAGCTGTGACTATAGAATTATCTTATACCTTGAGAAGAATGCGAGAAGTTGCCTATACTTATTTGTGATATAAGCAAACGAAAGAGGGAAAAGATGGTAATTTCCAAAATGTGCATAACATACTTCTGGTAAGCAGCTCGACCCATCATTACACCATGAGCTCCGAGCCTGAGAGCAGCATTAACCTGTGTGAACACATTTAAAATAAATAAACATTAATTTATGATAATGCATGGAACTCTCATTCCATGGAAAGCAATTTATCACATTTAAAACAAATAAACATTAATGTATGCTGCCAATTTCCCACAAGGAACTTTCATTCCATGGAAAGCAACTCCCAATAAACGAGTTTTGGGTCAATAAACCCGTGTAAATTGGTCATTGCAAAATTATAATGCAATGCAAGACAGAGAAAAATATGAATGTATCCACTATACCTTTGTTGTATCAGTGGAGACCACGTCATGTAAAAAGCTATATAATCTACTAGGCTAGCCCCTATTTTGCCGTGATTTCAATATCTATTAGTATGCTTTTCTAGTTTGGGGAAATTCAATTTCTGATACGTTAGATCCATTTACAGATGAGCAGAAAAACTCACCTCATCAACAGTGTTAATGCCCCCATTTATTGTGAATCTCAAGTCTGGAAAGTCGCGCATAAGTGCATAGAAATATTCATATCTGTGACCACGTCAGTATTATAGAGCATGAAAGTCTGTTCTTGGTCATTATTTTACAGATAGTTAAAAATATTATATGGTCTTTGTTAAAATACTTGAACAAAAAACAACAAGCTCTCTTTAAGCTTGTAGAATGTTATTGAGAACCCATACTTCAAAGGAGGAATATTTCGATTTTCAGCTGGGCTAATACCATTGAGCAGTGCCTTGCGGGAATGGATTATGAAATGCTTAGTTGGCGACAAAGAAGAAACTTTGTAAATAAAATCACCTGAAACAAAAAAAAGTGGACGTGAGAGGATAAATCAGCAACTAAGAAGACACATAATAATGTAACAAGAAACTAGAATGGCTTTTCAGAAAGAATACTCAAGACCTCATTGCCTCTTGAAATTGTTAGCACATACTGACAATATATATGCTGAAAACTTCAAATTTCAAACATCAAGCATAAATTAGATATCCTGTGCTTGAGTTGACCTAGCACAATTCAGGATCTAAGATGGTTTATGACTGTATCCCAAAGGAGTTTCTCCAAAGAAGTTTTTCTTTGCCATCATATGTTTTTTGCTACCAAGTTTAAAAAGTTGTCTTTCATGAAATGGAAAAAAATGAAGGTGTGAGTGGTAAAAGTCTTCTTCCTTTTCTTTTTCTTTTTTAAAAAACAAACTAGATTTCTTACTTATAGGGTGAAAAGGTAAAAACATAAATAAATAATAAATAATAAATAAATAAAGGAACAAGGAATCACAGCCTAAGGAGCTTAACAAAAGCTGCTCCAAGAAAGATAACTTTCACTCTCAAAGATTATATTAAGAGCTCCTAATGAGATAGCATTCCCTTTGAGGTCGTATCTATAACTTATAATGTTACCAGTTCATTCACTTCAATGTGTAGTCAAAGCCACCTTTAAGCACAAGAAAAATATTCAGACAGGAAAGGACACAACATATAAAACAGTCAATTATTGTGATGATGCTCCACAGGGGAAATAAATAAAGATGCTAATCATAAAATGACAATACAAACCTTACAACATCACTATGTTTATCTAAGCAAAGATGTAGTAGTCAGTGCTTTCTAATAAGAGAAAAAAGACTAGAAACCTTACAAAGTTCATTATATGAATCATGGTCATCAACGCCAATTCGACATTTCACACTTACAGGAGCATTCGTGTTGGCAGCAATTACTGACATAGCTTCACCAACAAACTTTCCTTGTCATCATGACAAGCATAGGTTAGACACGTTGCTGAAGAAAACAAAATGATCAAGGTGACTGAAATCAAAATATAACCAGCATACAGCCAGAAACCTTAGGATCCAGCATAAGGCGAGCACCAAAGCACCCATGTCCAGCCACCTTTGGACTTGGACATCCACAGCTGAAAAAAAGTTTCCAAAAATTATAGACATAAGAATCTATGTAGAAATTAAAACTGGAAAAATATGAAGGAGTAAGTAAAATACACACTTCAAATTAATTTCATCATAGCCGTAAGGTTTAGCAAGTTCAACAGCTTTTGCAATGTTATTCAAATTGTTTCCTCCAATTTGCAGGACAATAGGATGTTGGTCTGGAGAAAATGCTAAAAACCTGTCCTGTATAAAATAAAGAAAGATTACATAAAAAAATGGTCAAAACATAGACTGTTGAAGCATATCATAGGCATCT